AAGGGATGTGAAGGGTAAACAAAAGGAGGAGGCTGCAATGCTTGGTAAGAAATGTACGCATTATCCTGCCCATGCAATTGTAACCCCTCTGTACAGTATCTTCACAAATAAAAAAAAAAAAAAGAATACTCTACCCTCCTCCCTACAGAATTCTCTAGAAGGTGCTTGTTCAAGGGGAGACACAATCATTTGTGAATCGCTCGGCCAACCACACCACTGCAGTCTCTTCGCTGGTTGCCAAGTTTGGGGTGATTTTTCTACTCGGATGGCTCTAGCATCTAGCTATGTGACCTTTTAGGATCAAACCGAGGATACCACGACCTTGTTCTGATGTTGGCATTGTTTTCATAATGATACGTTGGGAAAAAATGGCCTAAACGATTGGTAGATTCTCTTCACACAAAACATTAGTTTCAGGCCAAGCCTGCCATCCTAGAGATCTGAGGATTGTGGTTCAAAGCCAGCCGGGGCAGGAAAGTCTGTGAGACTCTGATCTCCAAGGAACCACCAGAAAACAGGAAGTGGTGCTGTGGCTCAAGTGGTAGAGCACCAGTCTTGAGCAAACAAAGAAATACTTAATGCTTTGGGAACGCAACCAGGCCCTGAGTTCAAGCTCCAGGGTAGGCACTAAATAAATAAATATATATATATACACACATATATATGTATATATACTTACATATATACTTATATGTATATATACTTTTATATATGTGTGTGTATAAAATATATACTATATGCTATATAATAATATAATATATAATATAAGCACTAAGTATATATAATATATTACACAAAAGATAATATAACATAATAAGTATGTATATATAATATGAAACATATAATATATAATTGTGTGTATATATGTATGCATATATACTATATATATGTATATCTATATTAAGGATATATATTATTAAGGACAGTCACATGTAAAAAGATTTGGAATACATATATATAGTATATATATATATACTATATATTGTATAGTAATAATTACATCGAATTCTAAGGGTTTTGGTTAGTTGACTTCTATTGGCACTTAGGAGATGCTGATAATTATTAGGAATTATTGCTATTTTTGAAAGAAGTGCTCTCATTGCTCAACTATTCAGCTAACTGTGAGGTTTTATTGCATCTCTGGATTTAGTATCTTTTTTTTTTGCCAATCCTGGGTTTGAACTCAGGGCCTGAGCGCTGTCCCTGAGCTTTTTCTGCTCAAGGCTGGTGCTCAACCACTTGAGCCACAGCGCCACTTCCCATTTTCTGGTGGCTCGTTGGAGATGAGAGTCTCATGGAATCTCCTGCCCAAGTTGGCATTGAACCAGGATCCTCAGATCTCAGCCCCCTGAGTAGCTGGGATGACAGATGTGAGCCACGGGTGCTCAGCTAGTACCCTGCTTTATCTAGGGTGGGTGATTAATCAAAAGGCATCTATCAAAGATGATAACAATGAATAAAGTCACTCTGTGGTATTGCTATTGTACGGCTCTTAGGTAAGTAGCATCGGATGTGACAGGTTCAATCCAACAAATAACACAATACTAATTTCAGAGGGTTTTTTTTCCCTTCTCCCCATCAAAGCTTTCAGGAAAAAAAGAAAACAAACCAACAACTAAATCTGAAGAGAGCAGAAAACAAACAAACATTTTCCCAAGGTCCTTCAGCTAAAAGAGAACAAAACCGAGTTATACTAATACAGGGCAGCACAGGTGCAAATGGAAAACAGTCTATTTCTATGAATACATGCACAGGCCAGGAGGACATATTTGTTTTTCACTCTGCTGCAATAATTAGCGCTCCCTTTCAAACGTGCTTCTCCACTTAGCAAGTGCACTCACTCTTGGAATCTATCCGGAAGTTCCGATCAGAGCTACGTGTGAGGTTAGAAATGAGAGAGGAAGGTCTGAAAATAGCTATTAAAGTTAAATATGCTGTCACTGCCTGAGCGATCATACAGGGCCATAGGAGAGAATCATAGAATGCATTTTTAAATTATGATGACAAAGGTGATGGGCAGAGAGGTGACAGTGACATCAGTCGGGTCGTGAGCGCATGTCTCTGTGGACCCTGTCCCCCCTTCCCTCGCTCTCTCCCCCAGTGTTTCCCTCCCGTCCCCACCCACCAGTGGTGGAGTTCATTCTCCACCTGGTGTCCAGTGAAGACCACGGCTGCCTTGGTTTCCCCGTCTGTTCCCCCATTTCTGTGTCCCCCCTCACCCTCCCAGAGACAGAGAAACCCACCCAGGAGACAAAAAGAAAACAAAGACAATGTAGAAGAAAAGAACCTCTTCTTCCAATTTCCTTGAGTTATTTTATATGATCAGAGGTCTTGCTAAAAGTATAATGGATTGTTTTTGTACCAGTCCTGGGATTTGAAGTCAGGGCCTGGGCGCTGTCCCTGAGCTTCTTTTGCTCAAGACTAGTGCTCTACCACTTGAGCCACAGTGTCACTTCTGGCTTTTTCTGTGTCTGTGGTACTGAGGAATCGAACCCAGGGCTTCATGCATGCTAGGCGAGCACTCTACCACTGAGCCACCTGCCCAGCCTTTTCCCTTTCTTTCTTTCTTTCTTTCTTTCTTTCTTTCTTTCTTTCTTTCTTTCTTTCTTTCTTTCTTTCTTTCTTTCTTTCTTTCACTGAGGAAATCATAAAGATTTCCAGGCAGCCTTCAACAAGCCCACGAAATGCGGGACATGAAATTTCAATAGAGGGAAAAAAAAATCTCTTTTAAGCTCTTCAATTCAGTTTTATTCTCTTCTTTTCCTCCCCTTACCAATTCTTTTCTCCATCTTTTCTTCCCTCTCATTCCAGTCAAAGAAACGATCCAGGAACTAATGTTTTGCTCAAAGAACTTTTGGAAGTGCGGGGTGAACGTTAAATGTAATGTATCAAAATGTCGACCTTTAATAATAATAATAATTTTTTTTAAAGCAGCTTTGAGGGAAATGAAAAGCAAAGAAATCAGAGATCAGGTTTCCAGTGTGACCAAAATGTCAGCCTCCAAAATCCACAGCAAGCTCTCCTGCGGGAAATTATTCACAGCTAAAAACCTTACTGTCAGCTTAG